ATGTCACTCCTTTCAATGTCCCAGAAAATCCACACTGACATCTCAGGTTGTTGCAGGTTAAGGACACAATTCCATGGATTTATGTGCAGGCCCACAGATTTGCCAGATTCATGTCTAACCCCATCTCTCTGTGGCTCTGCTTCACACACACAGATCTTTAAACTTCTTAAGATATTCATGTGACAGACTAAGGTATGGTCACAGAAAAACAAGATGCTATGATTTGATTAGGAAGCATACTTCAGAGGTTCTTTCTGCTTCAAAATTTCTCCCACTTCCCCCAACCCTCACACCCCCCTTCATTATAGTCCCATGGATAATAGCCATCCTTGGGTTTGTAGTTTTGTGATTAACCTGAAGTATTTCACTCCTATTATATATTTTGGGGTGATATTTAATGTCCCATATCAGGAATTTTAAAATAACCTTAAGCACAAATTTAATGAAAAATGAAATCTCCAAGGAAATAATTAGTTCAAAACCATCTTTGATTTACAATGAATTTGCATGCTGGAGCATCTTTCGTAGTCTATCCATTCATGTAGGCTTAGGTTTCACTGTACCTAATCAGTGGAAACCTTGAACACAGAGATTTTGTTTTAGATTCTTCCCATCATATGTAGGATTTTCACAGTCCTTTTTCATTTCATGCAGCATTGCAAAGTGCTTCATAACACTTGTACACACTTCTGAGTCTTCATATCACCTTGGCTTACACAACCCTGAAAGGGTTATATTTCCAAAAATTTTGGATTATTTCTTAAGAGAGTGTAGAAAAAGCTTTATTTAGGAGATCAATAATGTCCTTTGTGATATTTATGGATGGATTTTCATTTATAGCAGCCAAAGTTAAGTATTTCTTGGGGTTTGGTACTGACATACAAGATACACACACCTGAGAGCTGTGAAATCCGTGGACTTGTGCGGGGAAGGGAATGGGGGGTAAAAGCCTTCCATTCTCTGTTCTATTAGTATGCACTTTTTCTATTAGCATTTAAATTATATTTTAATTTTAACAAAGTTTAAAAAAAAATAAATTAACATTCTCAACCCTAAAAGAGCAAAATTTAGCAATTTGGATGGAATATAGGAAGTTGTTAGATAATCCTAAATAGAATATCTATTTAATATTCATTACTGTTAAAAGCAAGAGCAATAGTAACAATATTTCTGCATCAAAAGGAAAAACAAAAAAATAACAAAACAAAAAACTCTCTTGGATTGAAATCTGGGTAGCCACACAGGTACTTCACCAAAATCCCAAACCACCTGCTCAAGTCACTTTTAAACCAAGTTCATCTTTAAGCAGCTTCTTGGATTTTCATCTTCACTTGCATAAAAGAGGGTTAAGTCTGTTCTATGCAAAGATCTTTGGCATGATCTTTGATGACAAATGACATGCTACCATATGCCAAAAAGAGAAGGGGAATACAGTCACCCCCAACTTCAGCTTTAACTGGAGCTGCTTTGTTCTGAGTGCCCTGAATAATTAATAACTACTTTGGCAATCAGTCATGCATTCCTTAATGGCACCTCAGGCATCAAGTATCCCATTCACCCACTCCCCAGCTAACAATGGACTTTATTACATCAAGTTTTCTCTGCCAAACTTGTAACTGACATAGCTGAAACTAAACAACTCACTAGAATCCCAAATATATATAATAAGAGTTTATAAGATTTCCCTCAATTGCATGTGGCTACTATGTAGATTAGAGCTGTCACTGGGGCAAAGGAGAAGGGGAACAGAAATTAAGTATGGATTGTTTTTGCAATAAAGTTCTAGGAGGGTTTTGGTGGCATACTGCTGCCAAAATCATGACTTTTAATAAACACATAGTTGGTCAAAATTGAGAACCACTGCTAAGCAGCTCTTAGTGAACAAAACAGTTCACCAGTAAATACAGAGTGAGTGACAGGGCAGAGCATGAAAAGAGTGACTGCGAATAACAGCTGTGCTGAAAGGAGAATAATAATTTTGAAATAACACAAACTAAATTTTCTTAGTAAAAAAAAGCTTTTTCAACAGTTTCTTCCACTTTGCAGTATTGCAGACAAAATTAACTTGCAGCTATAGAATACAGGAAGGAAAGTAGAGTTAAACCAGAATTATAGAAAATTCTAGGTGTTGCCAGGGTACACAACTTAAAATGGAACAAATTCAAATTATTTAACTGCAATTAGTTAGAATCTGAAGCAAAGCTTCATATTTTTCTCTAGGAGCATTCTGCTTGTATAAGGTACATGCTTTTATGCAGTGCCTCATAATCTCAGCATAAACCTTGACAGAGAATGATGTTGCATCTACTGACATTGAAATGGCTGTGAGTCCTTTGGAGTGACTAAATCTTAGAAGTAAAGTAATCAGATCAATAGCCACTCTCCTTCTACTTATTCATCATGTGAAAAGTTGGTTTGAAATATAATATACAAAGTAGAAAAAAATAAAACATATATACGACAAATTACAGCAGACTTAAACAAAGCCATTTCTCTTGCTCTTTAAAAGACCTGAAAATGTGTCCGGTGCCCCTCTCTGTGTGTGGCCTCCAAATACAGAAACAAGCTTGCACTGTTTTATTTCAGTTTTGCTTCATTTCTCCCCAAACAATCTCTCATTGCTAGTCTACCAGGCATCTCCCCCTCCCCACAACTTGTCAAAAAAAATGAGGGGGAAAAAATTAACTGTTTAGGACCAATTCATTGAAGTGAATCTCTAAGTGAATCAGTTATGATTTTCCAAGAATTACTTAAAATTTGCACTCATTCCTACAGCTGATATAATTTTCTTTTTTTTTTTTTTGTGGAGATGTGGGAGGGGAGTGGATTGTAAAGTTTCCTTTTTCTTGAAAAGTTGGATGAAGTAGCATAGCTATAAAGAAAACCACTATTATTTGGTATCAATTTTCAATTGCTTTAGGTACAAGAAAGAGGTTTAATTGTGAAACTCCATAATACAGATGCAATTTACAACCTGCAGTGAAATGTGTAACACTATTCTACATAACTTATTACGACATTTTTTTGTTGAAAAAGATCACAGTCCTTTTAAAAAGAGATTTAGAAATTAACCCTCACAAATCAATAAACAGTTGCTATACTGCACATTTTGGGGCTCATTCTGAATTCTTATGGCATGAGGAGGGCTGCTCTTGCCTGTTCCATATGTTTGACAGCATGCTTGGTTGCTAATACAGTTTTCATATATACTTATGCTATATGAGCTTTCTTAATAGAGAAGAATGGAGAACTAAGAATGTATCCTACAGTGTCAGCTCTGTTTTTGTCTATTGAATAAGTGCTGCAAATATTTTGAAGATTAAAGCATGGTTTTGCAAGGGCTGATAATTTAAATGCTATAACCAGTTTCCCCTATCAAATATCAAGGAATAAACAGTCCATTTGTTCAGCATGGCATAAAGATAATTATACATATGCTCTGGTATTTTCAGGTGCCTTTGTTTAATCAATTCCACAGAAACTGGATCACAATGTAAGTTAGATAGCTGTGTAGCAGGTTGGATGTAAGACGAGAGCTGTGACAATGAAATTTGGCACCAGTGCCACAAATACATGTATTTAGTGATTTTCTCTTACCATTTTCTAAAAGTAAATGTATTTATTATGTTCTGCCCTTGGGTGTATGAAAGTTTAAAGCTGGCTTTAATTCAAGTCAGTTTGGAGACTTCAAAATTCAAATTTGATTTATTTCATAGTATTTAACAACAAAAAGGGTCTAAAGTCATAGAAGACTCAAATATGCAGATCAAACCTATAACCACTTTAGTAGTTCTAACTAAGAACTAAATATTTAAAATATTATTACTAAATATTTAAAAATATTTAGAGGGAAACAACAGAACACAACATACATATATACACACGTGACACTACATTGACATCATCATCAGTATGCTTAATATATTAAGTAGAAGATTATGTACTGTTGACAAGGTACATGGAATGGTTCTTTGCTTTTTCTCAATAACTGAAGTTTTGCAAAGGAGCAGAAGTGGCAGCAAAAGGGCAAAATAAAAAAAAGAAACCAAATGTGTTCTGAATGAAGCACATGTCAGTGAGATTAAAATACGCATTCTTTTGATCAATTTTTTTTTATTGAGCTTTCAGATATTTTCCACCAACAAAATACCACAGACCACAAGAGTACTTCAGAGATTCACAAAGTGAATCATGAGGAATTTAACAAAATACTCCTTATTCTCCTTAAATATGGAATACCTATTCTAAAAAAAGCTAACCCCTGTTTTCCTTCATTCTGATGTTTCAGAACATTCTCTCATCCTTAAAAAAAAAACTATGAAAATTTTTTTGCTAACACAGATCTTTCATTTGATGAGAAAAGGTAACAGAAATCTGTCGACAGTGAAATTAGTCACATTTCAGACAATGATTAGTGTTTAATACCCATGATTTACAAGTTCTAAGCAACCTTCAAGAGAAGTTTAAAGTTCAGTTTTCAGAGAAAATGCAGTGGAAAATGAGTATTATGCATTGTCTGCTTTGTTACTATAATAAAACTATCAAAAAGCATAAGAACCTTTCTGTTTTGGAACTAGGTATAATCATTTGGCTGTGTATGTCTAACAGACCTGACTAATAAAAACATTAATTTCTTCAGTATTTTGTAACTTCTCAATGCTCTTTCAATGTCAAACTGCTGATTCCTGTGCTGATTTTTTTTTTGTCAAAGCTAGAATTCGGTTTTTTCCACAGTACAATATTAGGAATGCAAACATTTTACTGAAGTTCCTGCACAAACAACCAAGCCCACAACTTCCCGATCCACAGTCATCCAAGAAGAACCACAAGAACACTCCGTTAAACAACAGAAACAAAATGCACAATTCAGGAAGACAGATTGCACATCATTATTAAGAAATAAACATTAATTAATTTTAGCCTATTAAAAGATTCTTTTGAGCTACCACTTCAAAGATTTTGCTTTCCTGAAATGTTCCAATCTGAAGCATGTTACTTACTGGCATAAGAAGTGTATAATGGATGCAGAATCCAGGTTCAGAAGGAAAATATTCATCAGATACAAATCTTATTCTGATCTGGTTTCCTTTGGAGATTTGTCTGCTTGGCACAGTACTGGAACCACACCAGCGCCCTAAAACAGTGCCATCACTAGGCTCTTCAACTTCCACAAAGTCATACCTGGACAGAAAAGAAAATAAAATATTTATTTACTGACAAAAATTATATAAACTTCCTGTTTTAACCAATAAACTGACTCTGCAGTTTGCAATCTTTTTTAAATGCTAAAAGTATTCTGCCAAAGCCAGTTATTTTAAACTTAGCTCCCAAGCTGCTACTGACTTACATACAAAATAAAATCATGCCATGAGGTTAAAAAAATAAAAGCAGAGTTAGCATTTTGAAAAGACCCATGAGTATGGTTTTGTTTGCTCTTTTTACAGAAAGCAATTACCACATGTGGGACAAGGCAGAATAAAGAAAAGACTGAAATTGCCTAAGTGTGGCACAGTAATTCGTACTGCAATATCACTAGCAGTACACTATATGCCAGTAGTGAAACTCAGGGGCTTTTTTGGTACAGAAAACTTGCTCTCCTGTAATACCAGTGGTGAACACATTCCTGAAGGTTAAGATGGCTTAAGGAAACTTGGAAGAAGCTTATGCGTATTCCAACAAGACATTTATTGAGCCAAGATTTAGACCTCACTGCATGTCAGAAAGAAACTGGTGTTTTGGTTATATTGACAACAGATATATGGGTTGGGAACTTTGAGAAAATGTTTCATTCATATTAAGTTTGATACAGGTTCATCATTCTTGAGGTGTGGTCTGCATACCCCTGGGGATCTGTGAACAAAATCAACTAGATCCATGAAAGGTAACTAAGAAATGCCAGTCAATCAGCAACTAGTTTCAGTATGGCACACAGAGGTCCTCGTTTTCACTGGAAATGTTGAGGGGGTTCCCAAATAATAAAAACACTGAAAGCCACTGCTCTAGAAGGTCCATCTGTTTTCAGTGCTTTAACCTGTTTCATGTCAGCTCCCCAGCTGCCCACTGACAGAATAAACACTAAGCATTTCAGCTTGATTTTCCCTGCTGCAGTATGAAACCCCCAGAGCCCCAGTGGCAGCACAGCCCAGTGGTTTGGAAAGGTGAGTGTGTGCTGGTTAGAGCAGGGCAAGCACTTGGATGTTCACAGCTGCAGCTTCCTGAGCCAACTTTTTATTTTTAAACCACTATTTGTATTCTAAGCACAAGCATAACACACCTCTGAGAAATTTTCAAGGTTTCTGATCTTTTTATGTTCTCTTGCATGTGCAGTCATATGCTATATATGTCTCACATAAATCTAAATGTGTAAATAGCAGAGTCCTTTTCAAGGGTACAAACAGTCCTACCTCTGATGATAGCAAATGCTCATATTTTAAAAAACATGCACACATGGTCTACCAAATATGCCAAACAATATTTAATGTGAAAATTATTACCTCATAAACATTTTCTACTAAAGCCGTTTCTGGATTTCTTTTTCAGTAAATCTAATCTTTATAATGATTCCCAGTTCCCTAGTTAGACAGCAGGCAATAAATTCTTGTGTTGCATGTTTGTGCAAGACTGACTTGCACATTTATTGTCTCCATTTAAAGGACCAGTATTTTTTCTACTTAAGTAAAAATGCATGCAGTGAATATGCTCATTAACCGTGTTCAAAATCCATTACTGCCATGTACCACAGTTTTAAATCTTTGTTGAACTTACGATGCTAATTACTTTATCATTATCTTTTTCCTTCCCAAACATGAACTAATTCCTTTAACAGATCCACTAGTGCTTTTCCTTTATGATCAGGTATACAACTTGTTACAAAGGCAGTGTGTATAATAATTGTACTAAGACCTCAGGGCTCCACACATTTATCAAATTGATTTTGAGCACTGAGCTTTGTTGGTTTTTTTAAGATGAAATTATGAAGTTTCCAAAGATAACATTTCTTATTTTTTCTTAGTTGATAATATGAACAATTATCTACTTTTCTGACTTTTAAAGAGTGAAGGGTTAAGATGTCAGGCATAGCATAGGATTTAGTGCTTCTACCTCACCTGCACTACTTTTTATTGCACCCTTTGGTCTCATGGTACACCCGAAGTAAAAGAGAAACTCAAATTCCACAGTTTAAATCCTAGACCTTCATATAAATCCTAAATAATTCCATTAATTGATAAGGAAAATAGAGGGAAATAAGTATACTGAAAAACCAAATAAAATTCAACTTAAAATTCAGCTTGGATAATGACATTTTTAGCCAGTAACCTTATTGTCAGCTACCCAGGCTGAATGTGCTACAATGACCTGCCTTAAGGATCTTCTGTGCAACTAAAATTCCTCACATTGCACATCTGAACTAAGTCTGAATGTGCTGTAAAAGTAACAAAACAAAGTGGTTCATATGATTTGGCATTTATATGATTGTGCTATGTAATTCTGCAGCTTCATGTCACAGGACTAAGGAGCAGCAGGGGCAACAGCATAGCTATTCCCCATCAAGAGAAACCTGCACTTAAAAGGCAAGAAAACTAGTATAAATAATGAAAAACTGAGAAGCTGTTTACCAACTGCAATGGAGTAAAGGATGTTAAAATGCACATTGAACCAAACACAGAAGCCTTCTTTTCCATGCAGTGTGCAAAGAAGAAAACACAAGCCTTTGACAATGACTAAAGAAATACTTTGGTGCTGTATCTGTGTTCAACACATTTTTTCCAATATTACTATTTAAAATTAATGCCAAAGAGGTAGTGCAATCTCTTTTCCTGGGATGAAATATGCTTTTGCCTTTAGGCATGATGCCCACAACACCTTCAGTTATACCTTCCGCAGAACGTGTATTCCCTCCCGTAAGGCTTAGGTGCCTGAACCTAGACAAAGTGAACAAAGAATTTTTGGAAAAGAGCATGGAAGCAATGTAATCCACTCAAAGCTTCAATGTCTTTCAAACCAAGAAATGTATTTTCCAAGGGAATATGTTTTCCTCTCCTTTCTGTATGTTTTTCTGTGGTTTACACTGTCATTTGCTAAACATATTCTAGCAGGCTGTTTACCTTGGCTTGCAGTTATGTGACCTTTTTGTGGTTTCCCTCTGCCTCTGAAATTCCACAAATATATCAATAAATGTAAGAAGAAAAAGTCCATGGGGTAAAGCACTTTGTCATATGAGTGACATTGTACCTTCCGTCTGTTACAGATGCGTGCAAGGCAAAAATCTCAGAAACCATTGAAACAGCTTGTGAAAGGTGAAATTTACTTTTCCTTCCTCTTTTGATAAGAACCTGTTTCTTTTTGACATTTCTTTTTAATTAAGAAATAACTTGTTAACAATACCTATCGATTTTTTTAATAACATTCTGAGGAACAGTGTCATATTTCTATTCCAATTTGTTTTAAAGCACATAGAATTCTGAGATTTTCCTGGTGTTGGCATAGCACACCAAACTGCAGACCCAAAACATTCAAGGTCCCCTGGCAGTTCACCAGACAAACTGTTATTGAGTAGCACTGCGAGGGTTTATATTTGAACAGCTTCAATTTTGGAAACATTAGAAATTAAAAAACTGTCTTCATTTAAATATAATTTTGATACTTTTCTAAACCGAAATTTAACACTATCATTCCAAAGGATAATTTAGACTCCCTCTTCTATCTCTCTTTGAAATAATGTTCATTTTTGCTACTGAAATATTGAAATTATATATGGAGCAAAATTTTTGGTTTCCATCATTTAGCTTGACTGTGCATTTGTATAGACAAAACTATAATGGTACTGGTGATACCTTACATAGTCTTCACATCTGTAAGTAATCATATTGCCCTTTATGATATAGACATTATATTTGCACATAGAGGAAATTAAGGCCAAACATTTAGTTTGAAGCCATTTTTTCAAAGCTTCACAGATTCACATTCATCTAAGTGGGAAAGGGAGCACTGGAGCATGACAAGGGGCACTCAGATCCATGGTATCTAATAGCAGCCTTGTTATTCCCCACAGATCAGCATGCTAGAGTCTCCAGCAAAAATGTGTGATGGGACAAGGGGAATGCAGAGCATAGCAAAAAGGGCAGAGGGAAAGTGGGAGGACCACAAGAAGGAAGAAGGCAGAAGAGGTCAGAGTGGCATGCTGGACTAAAGAAATAAATATGTTTCAGGCAAACAACAACCCTACAGACATAGCAATACAGTAGTAAAAAGAAGAGCATAGTGCATCATACATTCAACAGGTGGAAAACTTTCTTCTCTATTACCAATGCTGCCCCTCTCACTGAGACTAAAGTAAGTCTTTATCAAAGACCAATGGCACAGAGAGACAAAAGATGCATCATATGAGACAAAAATCTAAATGGCACAAAATTGAAGTCATTGGTAATAATGAAACTGCAGGTACTTGTGAGCTATTTTCTAGTTTATGTAACAAGAAATTTTACATCTGGTATTCCTCTCTAATGTGACCAGGTCAGGCAGTACAATCACCTATCACCAAAACTTGCAAGCTTCGGAGCAGCTGTTTAATTAATTCCATTGCCATTCAAATGCATTCATATACACGGTACTGTTTTGTACTTGATGCCACACAGGAACATCTATATGAAGCTCAGACTGGGAAAGACTGGCCCATTCAGCCCAGTCCTCCATTCAGCCCAGTAGATACAAGGCTCCTGAAATTGCCAACCACTAGTGAAAACCGGTAAAAGTGACCTATTAATAACTTCACTTGCCAGCTAGGCAGCAGGGGAAAAATCTTAGATGATACAGAATGCAGATTTTCTGGAGGTACAGAAGGGAGATGGCACCTTGGCTGAAATGGTGGCCCTGTGGCAGCACCAGCAAGTACTCCACACAGGGTTAAAGTTCAAGAGAAATGATTCTGCTCAGCATTATCATAAATATTTACCTGGGGCTAGTTTGAGTGACAGTAAAGTCAGAATATTGAAAGAAAACATTTTTTTCAAAAACTAGCCTATATTAAATTTAAAATATTCCCTCTGGATTTTGTCTTTACAATAAGAATTTCTGAACAAAGTTACCCAGTCATTTGACTTCAGTTCTTGAGCCTCATGACATAGGCAATTCATCCCTAGTACTCATCCTGTTTAGGAGGATTTGGCAATGCCTTCCACTAT